CTAGCACTATTATAACTAGATGTATTTAGATCTACATTCCCTTTTCATTTTGTCCCAAATGCTTGTCTAGTTAAGTAGTATGAAAGAGAAAAGTGGAAGTTACCATGCCATTGTTATTACCACACAGTAAGAATCTTCTTGGTCTTGTGGCTCAGAGTGTTGAAATACTACTTTGAGGACACCAAGTGAAGGCAGAATTCACCAAAGACATAATAATTACCCTCAATTATGAACACAAGGGCCCCACTGTAACAAAGTTAGAGATACAAGAGTCGACTGGAAGATTCCAGGTTACTAAAGAAAAGAAAATGTACAAGGATTTCGCCTCACGTAAAACCTGCCTAATTCAGACATTTATTGAAAGAGATTCTCTAGATTTTGGTGAACCCTTTATTAAAAGCCTCCTTGTTGAAGGCTTAAAAGCCATGAAACAAAGATTTGTAATTATGGTGCTGGGCTTGCAGTGTCACTATAATTACAGGCTGCCAGTATATCCATTGGCAGCTTTTGATGAGGTAATAACTTGACCACGTTGATCCCAATTGTAACGAAGCTTGGCGCAATGCATCAGCCCAGGTGCAAGGTTTGTTTTACAAAATTGGATTTCAACTGATCCAGCTGCCTTTTATAAACCTAGCAAGTAATAAAGATGGAATCGGTGGGCTTCCAATTCCCCCTACCACACACATCTTTGCAAGCTGTTAACCCAGAACGTGGCTCAAACCCGTGTGATAATGAAAGACCAAGCCTCAGATGCCACATCACAAGGCCCGATTCTGATCTCAAACACATATTGTCACCAACCTGGGGAAATTTTAAATAAGTGAAATTTTTCCACTGTTTTGCTCCTGCAGTTGAATCCTCTATGTGACCTTCTAACAGAAAAAAATTAATTATTGGTCTGAGATAGTGGTGATTAAAAGGCTAAAGCATCCAAAAACCGCAGGGAAAACAGCCCAGCCTGTGTCAAACAGAACCCTGCTTTTTGGAAAAGAGATGATGAAGGCATGACTTCTACCCAAGCCCAGGCATTACAGAGGAGGTGGAGAGTGGAACTGCAGGACAGAGTTTTAGGCACACTCAGGCCTGATCCACACTAACCCCCCCCACACTTCAAACTAAGATACGCAACTTCAGCTACGTGAATAATGTAGCTGAAGCCGAAGTACCTTAGTTCGAACTTACCGTGGGTCCAAACGCGGCAGGCAGGCTCCCCCGTCGACTCCGCGTACTCCTCTCGCGGAGCAGGAATACCAGCGTCGATGGCGAGCACTTCCAGGATCGATTTATCGCATCTAGACAAGACGCGATAAATCGATCCCAGAAGATCGACTGCTTACCGCCGGACCCGGAGGTAAGAATAGACCTACCCTTAGATACTCTACATATCAAGATCAACCTAATACAGGATCTGCTTTAACCCAAATGGGGCCCCACTTGTGCTGTGTGCTTTACAGACATATTAAGAAGCCATCCTTGCCCAAAAGGCCTTACGCAGTCTAAGGCCTGGTCCCCACTAACCCCCCACTTCGGACTAAGGTACGCAAATTCAGCTACGTTAATAACGTAGCTGAATTCGAAGTACCTTAGTCCGAACTTACCGCGGGTCCAGACGCGGCAGGGAGGCTCCCCCGTCGATGCCGCGTACTCCTCTCGCCAAGCTGGAGTACCGGCGTCGACGGCGAGCACTTCCGGGATCGATTTATCACGTCTAAACCAGACGCGATAAATCGATCCCAGAACATCGACTGCCTGCCGCCGGACCCTCCGGTAAGTGTAGACGTACCCTAAAACAAGACTAAGGGTGGGAGGGGAACAGAGCCACAGAAAAGTAAAATGACAAAGTGACGTGCCCAAGGCCACCTGACGGGTCAGTGGCAGAGCAAGAACTAGAACCCAGGTCTCCTGACTCCCAGTTCAGTGTCTTATCCACTGGACCATGCTGCTTCTCAGTGTGCCTCACTGATCTTTATTGAAACTACCAATACCATGAGGCACTGCTGGAGACATATTTCAGAGTAGCGGCCGTGTTAGTCCGTATCCGCAAAAAGAACAGGAGTACTTGTGGCACCTTCGAGACTATTACATTTATTTGAGCACAAGCTTGTGCTCAAATAAATTTAATATAGTTAGTCTCTAAGGTGCCACAATCCTATTCTTTTTGCTGGAGACAGATTCTAGACATACCCCTTTAGTTAAGTTTGTAGTACATTATAAAGAAATCCTACAAGTAGCAAGAGTCACATTAGTTACCAGCCCTTCACCACCATCCTTTAAAGCCAGGACAAGCTATAGAAAAGGCTGGGATTAAACACAGAGAAAACTTAGATCACTCTAGCAAGACAAAACAGCCCCTTGTAAGTCCTAAATTTTGTCTTAAGAAGTGACTTTGTTCCCCAGGTCACAGGGGTTAGGTACTGTAGAAGCAGAAATTATTAAAACCTACTATTCATCTCCAGAGTCAGACAGGTGTAAGTCAAGTCTTTAAAAACCCAAAGCTTTAATGGAATCTGAAGTCCACTTGTGCAGTAGCTACCTTCTGTCATCACATTACCTTGACACCATCACCTCAGCCTCTGCCCTACCTCCCCACCCTATCAAGCCCACTTGTTGCATCTTGTCTTCGAATGTGAACTCTCTCTGTTCTAATCTTCCTAGATCCTGCAGCCAGATCCATGAAGGGTGGGTCCCATGCAAAAGCCTAATGACTGCAACACAGGTTTATAGTTTCCAGGTCTGTGTGTGTACCGCACCAGCAGCCCCAATTTAAACTGAGCCCACTGGACATTATTGCCATAGTAACAGGAAAAGACAGACTTAAAGCTGAGTCTGTGTTTTCAAAGATTAACTTGAGTAAATCAATAGAGTCATGTTGAACACTATTAAGAAGAGCAGGTTCCAGTTTCTAGGGGCCTTGTACTAAGAATTGCTCTCAGGATACCTTGTCAGCTACTTTGACATAAGACTTCCCTCCACTCCCTTTCAGACACTTGTTCTCCTGTAGATCCTTGTTCAATTTTTAAAAGTGTCTTGCAGGTAATGATTAAGTAATTAAGAGACGCTGACATCTACCCAAACAAATATGCAAGGCAAGTGCCAGTCAGTAACAAAACAACCCAAGCTGTTCGGTTAAAGTATCACACCGAGCTTGACTTCAGATCTTGAGCTACCAATACAAATAAAACACAGATGCACAACACAATTAACTCTAGCAATCCAGGTTATTTTTAGACCATTGAAATAAAACACTGACCAAATCCAGCCTGACTACAGAAGACAGATGCTCTTTCTTTTTCACATGATCAATTTTCAGCAGTTTCTAAAGTCCACCTCTGCTCCATTTTTCACTGGTTTGGAAAACGATCACTGAACTGGGGATCATCACTTCAAATTACATAGTCCATGCAGTACGTAATGCAGATCCACTGTGTGCAGGGTACACATGAATGTACAATCAGGAGTATCAAGCGGGGTGCTGGCTCCTACCATTACGAAGATTAAAAAGATATTCCTCCTTGGAGCATAAGGAATTAAGACGGCTACTAGAATAACCCTCCATGCCAAATGGCCTACTCTGCTCATATCCTGCATCTCTAGCTTCTTGCATCACGAAGGATCCCAGCAGGCATTACAAGTTACTGGCCCCAATTCGGATCCCATTGACTTGAAAGGGAGATGGTTTAACCACAAGACAAACAGGAATTACCCCTCTTCTCTCTCTCTCTGGGGTAACATACAGCACACCGGGATAACAATGGGGGTGGAGAGGAAAAGAGATCTGGGGACAAAGGCAAGAGGGTGGTACCTGGGACCTTATGAAAAGCACTATGGGGTCGTTAAGGAACATACAAAGTGGGCAAGACCTCGGCTTCTGCTGCAGGAGCTGGGGAGGGAGGCCGTTAAGGAAAAGTTGTTTATTGGTAACAAACAGCCTCCCCCCATCCTAAGCTGCAGTCTCAGCACCTCACCGCCTGCAAGCCACAGTTCCAAGGGTCCCTTCAGCAGGCACAGGGACCACAGCGTGTGGGGCCAACGTCCTCAGCCCCATTCCCAAGGGTCGGGAGGGTGGGAGGGACTGGGGCAGGCCCAGCGTGAGCCCCACCTTAAGTCACAGATAATTCCCACCCTGTCCTCCAAGCACCGGGGTGCAGGACAGCTCAGTGTGGGCAGAATCCTGTATCTCCCGCCACATACACCTGAATCCTGCTACCTGGGCAGGAGGGGACAGCCCCGGGGAGTTCATGGCTCCTTGACAGGATGGGGGCAGTGCCCCAGCCACTGGGGCAGGGGACGAAAGTGGGGGGGGGTATCCCTGTGTCCCAGGATTCGGGACCCAACCACCGTAGGGGGAGGGGACATGCCCAGGGAGTGCTCCTGCCCCCCCCCCCACCTAGGCCAGGGAGCTGCCCCCCCCCGGCCCGGGATGACAGGCCAGAGCCCCCGCCCCACTGCTATTCACAGAGCGACCTACGCCAACTGCGTCCACTGAGACACCCTCCCCCCGTGGAAAGCCGCCGGTTTAAGCCACTGGCGTAAGGCCCGCGGTGTCCACACAAGGCTCCCCGGCCCAGCGCGCTCTGCCCAAGCCATGGAGAAGCGGCCCGGCTCACGCCGCCGGGGGGAACCCACCGGAGCGCCCTACGCCCGCTGCGCACGGCTCCGCGGGGGGCGGACGGCAGAGCGGGCTCCGCTAACGCCATCGGCGTCCAGCCCCCCCAGGCGCTATTCGCCAAGCGGCCCCCGGCGGTCTCGCGCCGCGCGTAGAGCGTTACGCGCTTAGCGCAAGGCCGCCGGAGCGATTCACAGACCCCAACGGCGCCGGCAGCGTAGCGTCCCGGCCCTTCTGAGCAAGCCGACGTGCGCAAACGGCGTCCACGCGCCCGACGTATTCACCCCCGGGGCTCCGGCGAACTAGGGCGCCTCCCTGCCAGTCCGTGCGGCGGGGAGGCGGGCGCAAGTTACGCAAGTGGCGTAGGGCGCCCCGGAGGCCCGGGACTCACCGGCCCACGAAGTTCTCGAGCACGGAGCTCTTGCCGGCGCTCTGGCCGCCCACCACGGCGATCTGCGGCAGGTCCAGGTGGCAGCTCTGCCCGATGGAGCTGAACGCGTCCTGCAGCTTGTTCACCAGCGGGATCAGGTCCTCCATCCCCCGGTTCCCCATGGCGGCCGCGGGGCCCCGGCTCCCCGCTTCTCGGGCGGCGGCTCCTCAAACGGTTCTCGGCGGCAGCGGCCAAACTTCCCCTCAGAGTCTCCTCCTCCGGCCCCGGCGCCGCCCCCGGCTCTTCACTCCGCCCAGCCCCGTCAGCGGCGCATCCTATTGGTCGGTACGGCTGTCAGCCTGTGGGTCTAACCAATCGAGAGGCCCTACAGCCCGTAATTCAATCTGAGTGGGCGGTGTTTAGCGGCGCTCGCCTCCTTTCCGCATTGCTAGTGGTCGCTTGCGCTGTCACTCTTTTCACCCAACCAATAGAGTTCATTCGTGACCTGTCTAGGAAGGCGGTACTTTTAGATCCCGCCCAATATCTTTTTTTTCTGGTTTCTCGTTGGAGGAGAAGCCGGTCGCTCTATCTAACAGCCACTAACGCTCAAAAATTCACTCCGCCCTGTTTCCATTGGTCAGAATTTCTGCCACTCTGCCACACCATCCAATTCATTGGGAGAGGCGGGCTTCCCTAGGAAAGGTTGGGTACTATTTGTAGAGAAGCCATATCTGATTCGTGATCAGAATGTCAATCATGGTGTCCTTCTTTATGATTGGTCTCTTTGTTCCTCCTCCCTCCCCACCCGCTGGAGGAGGTATTAGAGGAGATCGAGTACCGTATTGCCTCAGATAGAACGCGCACCCCATTTAGTGCCTTATTTCTCCTTATAGAAGCCCATACATATATTAGTGTATGTCTCCTTATGGAAGACACCTTTATTTTTTTGTTACCGTATATCTCCCTATAAAAGGAAATAAGGACAATCCGAGAAATTACAGACCAGTCATCTTAACTTCTGTACCCGGAAAGATAAGGGAGCAAATATTTAAGCAATCAATTTACAAACACCTAGAAAATAATAAGGTGATAAATAACAGTCAGCATGGATTTGACAAGAACAAATTGTGTCAAACCAACCTGATAGCTTTCTTTGACAGGGTAACAAGCCTTGTGGATGGGCGGAAGCGGTAGACGTGGTATATCTTGACTTTAGTAAGGCTTTTGATACTGTCTTGCGTGACTTTCTCATAAACAAACTAGGGAAATACAACCTAGATGGAGCTACTATAAGTAGATTAAGGTGCATAACTGGTTGGAAAATTGTTCCCAGAGAGTAGTTATCAGTGGTTCACAGTCAAGCTGGAAGGGCGTAATGAGTGGGGTCCCGCAGGGATCGGTTCTGGGTCCAGTTCTGTTCAATATCTTCACCAATGATTTAGATAATGGCATAGAAAGTACACTTATAAAGTTTGTGGACAATACCAAGCTGGGAGGGGTTGCAAGTGCTTTGGAGGATAGGATTAAAATTCAAAATG